CAGGTTTTGTAGAAAGAAGGGTCCCTACCTAAACGTCAGCGACCAGGTCGAGTTCGGATAGGCAGACGGATGCGAGACGGTCAGACTCTAAATCATCATCGGGGGGTCCTCTCTCTCTCTCTCTCTCTCTCTCTCGCCCCGCTCCCTCATCTAGTCAACGTGAGCCTCCTTCAAATTAATTGCCTGCTGCTCCGCCGGGCGGCCGTAGCGCCGGGGCGGCCTGCCGTGTCTCCCGGTCTCCCGCCTCTCTCTCTCTCTCTCTCTCTCTCTCTCTCTCTCTCTCTCTGAGTAGGGCCTAGCCGGCCCCAGCCTGCCCGTCGGCTGCGTCGTGTTCGAGGACCCCGACGAATCGCTCGCCAAGATACAGTATCCTTTACATCGCCCGGTTGGCCAGGGCGAGGGAAAGAAAAAGGATTTGGTGTGGCTCTCTAACATGAAAAATACCAAGACCCCATACAACCAGTAGACTGTTTCGGAGCTGGATACAAGAAGATTATAATATGATAATTTTCAATAACGCCCGATTTTGTGCTTCTGACTAAGAGCGGGCATGTGTGTCGTACGCGGGTCCTAGACCGACAACCTTGACGGCTGCGACAGCCCTTTGGCTGCCGCTCACGAGTCTGGACAATGTGCGCCATTGTGCGTCGCAACCCCTTTTTGGAGCGGCCAGTAGAACGGGGTGGAGGAGAAGTCTCAATCTCCTCCTCCCTGCAACACCACGCTACGCTGCTGCTGCTACTCGCCGTCATAGATTAGCATATTTTGAGGTTAGGTTCCCATGTCTCCTTATATTGATTATTCCAAATGCCACAGGGCAGGCTGCTGCCTAGAAGTAGAAGCAGCACAGGCAATATTAAAAATTCGCTCCCGACTCCGATTAATCAGTGACGAAAATTATTTCCAGACGGACGACCGCTCGCCGCGGTCGGCACCGTTCCTTTCGTCCCGCTTCACTTTTGTTCTCTCTCTCTCTCTCTCTCTCTCTCTCTCTCTCTCTCTCTCTCTCTCTCTCTCTCTCTCACACTCACACACACACACACACACTCTCTCTCTTCCCTCGTTGTTGACCACCGGCCTTTTCGCGACCACCCCACCAGGCTGCGCCAAACCAACACCCTCCTCCCTTCTACTTCTCTTCCAGCAGTTGTTTTTCTCCCCTGCCTGGAGAGCAGACGGGCACTCTAAGGCCCTGGCCCGAACCCAGTGGAAATAATTATTTAGAAGAGAAATGTTCGTGTTTATTTTTGAACGACAGTTTTCGAAAATTATTGGTCCGTTTGCTAGTGGCATATTGAATCGCAGAATTTGGTGGTTTAACTTGATCTCGACCCGAACTAGTAGAAATAGTGAGATAACAGGGGGGGGGAGGGGAGAGGAGAGAGAGCTTAGAAAGAAGATCATCATGCTGGGAAAAAGGACGAGGATAGGATGGGGTAAAAAAAAGAGACTAGTCTGCCCTGCTCCGGGTTGTGTGGGGATAAGGTAGACGAACAGAGAGAGAGAGAGAGAGTGAGAGAGAGAGAGAGGCGGGGATGTGAGGAACGAATAGGGGAGAGGAGCAGATACCGTCATCCGTCTTCGTCACATGTGAAGTGAGCCCGCCTCCCCCTCTTTTTCTCCCTCTTTCCCTCTCTCTCTCTTGCTCTCCCTCTCTCTCTCCTGGGCACTCCTCCACCACGCCAGACGGGAGCCGCGCCGCTCCACGCACCGCTGCCCCCCCCCCCCCTTTTCCCTCTCTCCCTGCACCGCAGCAGCCACCCTCCGCGCTGTGACGCGAGAGTACTGTCTTCAAGAGAGGGAGAGAGAAGTGGCTGCGAAGTGTGTTGAAACGCCGCGATAGCGCCGTTATGACTGCTTGTGCGTGCGTGTGTGTGTGCGTGTGTTCTAATGGATCGGCGCGGGTCGGTATTGGCTCTCGGCGGGCCTCTCGGCGGGTCGAGGTGGGAGGCGGCGAGACCATTAGCGGCCCATCATTAAGGCAGACGCCATTTTAAAGGGGAGAGCGTTCAAAGGGGCTTCACACCGCGGGCCTTATCAACATGGCGGTCACTCCGAGACACGTTTGCGGCCGATAGCCGGGCAGGCCGAGGCGCCCTCCTTGTCACTGTGTACTGCACCTGCCGGGAGGGCGTCGCCCGCTCCTCGCTTACACAAACCTAGGGGCCACGCCACAGCAATACGCATCTAAGTGGAGGTGCCACGAAAATTGGCGACCCGATGGATGTTTTGATGGCCGTCTGACGCGGGGGCGAGCCCTGCTAGGGCGGATCCCGGTGGGGTTATTACAAACCGGAAGTCCCTGTGACAATAGTCGACGGGCGACGCCCCGGCCTTCTTCCGGTGAGCCGCGGTAAGCATTCTATGACGTGTACCCTCGCACTATTTCCCTGCCATCGCGTAGAGGCGAAGCAAAACATGGCATTTGGCTTATTGAAAAGCTTTAAAAAAAAAAAGTCGTCTTCTCAGTGTGGGAGATAATCTCTTCTCATAGCTGATGTTAATTCATCTGCAGGCAGGTCTTACTCAGAGCGCGCGATGCAAACAGAAAACACACACAGCCATGTGTTGCAGAGAGCCAACACCTATGCAAGCGAACGCTGCAAGAATAGCACGGTCCTCCCCCTCCATAAAATTTTCTTAACTTTTTTCACTGCCCTCATTTCTACCCCAGTCCCACCCGAGCGATAGTCGCAATTAGAGGGACCCTCTTGAAATTTCACTCTGAGCAAAAATCATTTGTACGCGACTCGGTTCAATTAAAAACAGTTCTTCTGCAACTTTAATTCTCTTGCGCCCGTGTTCTTTTGGTGTTTCTTTTAGTGTTCGTTTTTTTCCTTTTTTCGGTAAAAATGAATGCATTGAGATGGTTTAAATATCGCGGTTTAGAGGATGGAGGCCTCGGTCAGGATAATTTTCTCTCTTTTTTTTTCACATTTTAAGAGGATGCCTGTCGGCTGCCTATGCAAACAGGTCATTTTTGTTATTGTTTTGAACAAATACTCAAACTTTTGGTAGGAGTCCGCTCCAGGTACAGCGTGTGTCCTTCTCACCCTTCTCCCCCCTTCTCACCCCCAGCACCCGCCTCCCTCCCTCTCCTCGCACCCTTTTCCCTGAGGAGAAGGCGTCAGCCATGATCAATTGCTTCCGAAATGAGAATCCAAAGTATAATTTCCTGAGGGGCGTCCGTCAAGCCATCACGCCTTGACCCGGTGGAGGTGGGCTTGGATACACTGCCACGAACAACATTAACAAAAACTTAGACCTTTATTTTTAAGCCCCATCTGAATCCTTGCTAAGAAAATTAAGTTTCTCTGCATTAGATTTTGGAACGGAACCCTTTCCTTCTTGGTGGTCTAAATTTCCACTGCTTTGTTATTTTAAACCTCCCGATGCATGCGTTCGTTTATGGCGAGTGAAGGCACCTTTTTTGATTGATGAGTTATTACCGTACACTGTTAATTAGTCTCCAATCACGCCACAGGGCGCTTTGTGAGTATGGAATGGGAAGAAAACGAGAAAAGGGGCAGAGGGGTGGGGGCGGCGTACCGCTTGAGCGAGAGCAAGTCACCATCCACGCATCCATCTTTTAGCCGCGTTTGCGTCCAACAGGCACACACACCCACATCCAATGGGGTGAAACGTATATCAAATCAAACGTGTAAGCAGGCAGCATGTGCGCGCGCGTCTGTATGTGTGACACGCCAAGAAGTTGACGCGCCGGTGTGAAAGGGGCCGTAATTTACATGTTTATAAACACGGTTACGACTTAAATTATGGTGGGCGGTTGTAACCCCCTTCCTCGGGAGCTGCTTACCCCCCACCCGGCAGAATGCATTGCTGTCGCAGCGGCTGCAGCCAAGAGAGAGGAAAGAAAGAGTAAAGGACAGGGGGAGAGAGAGAGAGAGAGAAATGGGTGCCAAATGGACGATGAGCGCGAGCAGTCATACCACCATCGTGTGAGATTTATCCGCGTTATTATTTACGACGCGAATCACTTTTGGCAGAGTACTCCTAAACATCGGGTGTTATCTTACCGAATCCTCCTGCCGCGACCGGCTTTGGAAGTAATAGCGAAAAGAATAACAAGTGAGGAGGAACCCCCCCCCCCCCCTCCTTTTCCTTCTCCCTCTCTTTCCTCTCCTGCCCCGCTGATTCTCGCACCGTCGGTGCAATTACCACGCGCTGTGATCATCTCTCGATTACGCGTTCGAGCTGGCGATTCACGCTCACGTAAACACTTCGATACTATCGATTGCGTCGATCGGGTATGAATAAATGGAGCGTCGATTGCGCCGCTGTTGCACACTTTTTGGCAAACGCGCGCGATGTGGCAGGAGAAAAGGGGAGGGGGGCGTATCTTACACGAGACGTGCGTACTTGCTGGCGCACATCGCTGCATGACATGGCTGTTGTGCTTGTGAGCTGTACTTATAAATGTATCCTGAAGCACCAGGGAACTGGTTGCCTCTCACCTTTTTTCTTTCTGCCGGGTACTGTGTATAATCAAAATATCGTTAGCGCAATAGAGGCCGCTTCCAAAGCGCCCTCCTCAAGGACTCGCCGAGCAGTCCACGCCTCTAGCACTCGCCTAATATGATACGGAGAAGGGGGGGGTCTAGATTTAAAAACAACACCAAAAAGGAAATATGCAACTTGATTGGAAGATGGGCGGCCGCGTTTGTTTTACTCGTTTCGCCATGTTTATCCCGGCCATGTTGCTCTAGCCTGTCAGCAGGTTTGATGGATGATGTCAGATCGCTCCCTCCCCCCTTTTTTTCCACAGCGGCTCGCTGCCTCATGAAGGCTGGGGTGGGAGTACAGGGGAAGGCCCAACCTAGAATTCAGATTGGATGAAATAATTTTCTATAGCCCTTTTATCTTTATGAAGCATGTTTTGGTGTGCGTGTACGGTGTTAGTCAATTATAAGGTGGCTGGTTGGAAAGATTTCAGTAAAGAAGGCTAACGAGCCTTGTTTGTTTTCTTTTTTGTGTTGCAGAGAGGAAGCGAGGGCGGCAGACCTACACCAGGTACCAAACCCTGGAGCTGGAGAAGGAGTTCCACTTCAACCGCTACCTGACGCGTCGCAGGCGGATCGAGATCGCCCACGCGCTCTGCCTCACGGAGAGGCAGATCAAGATCTGGTTCCAGAACAGGCGGATGAAGTGGAAGAAGGAGAACAAGACCAAGGGCGAGCCCGGCTCCGGTGACGGTGACGGTTCAGGCGAACTCAGTCCACAGACTTCGCCTCAGTGAGATGAGGCCCCGGAAGAGCATACCTTGTTCTTCCACCACTTTTAGTCATTCTTCATGATAGTCACGCGACGACATTCAGTGCAAAGTGTGTTTGTGTGTGTGTGTCTCGCCCCAGTGGCTACGAGGACAGACATGTCGGGTCACCACGGTGACCCAGCTGCCTTCTATCACTGCTATTTTGTGTACATACCGTAGGGTAAAAGAAAGAGAGCGAGGACAAATGGAGTATGAGTGAGTGAGAAAATGAGGGAGTAAAAGGGTGCAGAAGCGTAATGATCGCTGCGAAACAAAGTGATATTTCTATTTCTTTTTCGAGTTAAGGATAGACCGGGTCAAGCGCGTCAGCCTGTTCTTCGACCAGCGCATTGATATTCTGAACTATTTCGATGTGCGGAAACTATGGATGTGTTCTCTTTTATCCGAGTCGTCTGCAGCCCTAAATTGTTTTAAATGTCAAAAAGCTCGTGTCACAATACCAAGTGACGAGAGTTTGCAAGAGTCTCTTTCAGAGTTGCTTTGCGGTGATATATTTTGGAATGGCCCTGTTTTTGGTTATAGACTTTTCAAAAGCGAATTTTGAAACGGCCTTAGCACTGCGGCAATTGATCTTAAACGGGCTGTCCGGTTCACTTGATTTTAACTTAAAATTAAGGAAAAATCAGAACACACTCATTTGTGTAATGTATTTACGGCTAGAAGCCTGACATTTCCGAAATTAAGTACTTGACTTATAGGTATCCTCCTTGCTCTTGACTACACTACCTCCCTACCTTACAACCAAAGAAAAAATAATTATAGTGTAGAAGACAGGTGAGCACACTGTGATTTAAGTGCAGAATATGTGATGTGCAAATTATCCTGTGCGCAAATTTGCGTGAATTGGTGTTTAACTCTCCTAAAACGGGTGTTTGTGTAAAAACATGTAAGTGAAGTGAAATCTAATGTCAAACTGGTTGGTGGCAGCCTGGATTAGCCGCCAATTCAGTGATGACGAGAGGATGACGCAAGCTACAACAAGTGATAACGTTACCTGTAGTGAAGCCGTGTGGCGCACTAAAACTTGGATTTCACCTGCGCTTCCTGGCTGGACAAACCATGTGAGTATTAAGATCAACGTGCTGTCTGTAGAGACTCTTGCAATTAGCTCTCGGCTTTCCTTGTGTTTTTGTTTTTCTTGTACGTCGAAATTTTTGTGTGCGGGAGGACATGGGTCTAAGCTAGGAATTAAAGTCAGCACAGCTTTGGCTGTAGCAATAACCTCAGATACGTAAACGTTTGACGGCTGCATACGAAATAACTGACCGCTGTCTAAAATTGTATGGAACAGATAAATGTATGATGTATTTTTTTCAGTGCTTTAAATTTGTCATTTAAGTATACAAGTAAATGTGTTATTTGCGTAAATAAGAATAGTTATTCTACGTGTTGTAGTAAATTTTTTAAAAAATTGAGAAAAAGAATCGCTATTACAAGTTAGCAAATTGTTTGGTTTTCACAAGTAACTCAATTGAGGGCGCTTTTGGCGCGTTATGAAACTTATGTGATAATACCAGAAAGTGTTAATTACTCAAAACTTGGATCAGAACATTAGTTTTGCGTTGCACTGCAAAGGTCCTGGGATGCAGCAGTGCGAAATTTTCAACCGTTCTATGTGCAATATTTCGATAGAGTGCCAAAAATGCTGATCAGTTGAGTTATCTGTGTTTTTGTTAACGCCCCGTTCACGGTGGCAAACATACCACAGTTCCTAGGACTCGCAAAGTGTCAACATTATTTATTATTCGTACAAGGATTCATACATTCTTAAATCATGTTGTCCTGCGCATCCTTGAAAGGGCATATTTCTGTTGTTTGTTAAGTGTTGCCTGTTTTCCCTCCACAATGTTTCGTTGAGAAAGTCCAGTGTATCGTATACCATTATATTTTACGTCGTATAAGATTCATTGCTGAGTGCAACACTGTTTAGTTGTAATTTGAGTCACACTCTTTCGGCCTACTTGGATTTGCCCAAATAACCGAGCCGGAGAAAGTAATGTTCAAAATTAATATCGTTCTTGCGTAAGCTGGAAAGACTGACCTCTATAGTCTAAAGTATGCCATATTAGGGTATATGATGTGTAACACTCGGTACCAGTTAATACATTATACAGAGCCATGTGATATTTTATGTCGTACAAATAGTGTCGGAGGGCACCCTACCGACGGTTTTCTCCTACTCTATGCACTCTGTACTCTTTGATCGTCTTTCAATCGACAGCACTAGTTTTATGGTTTGAAGTTTTAGGGAACGGTCCGCAGTAACATCCCGAGGCGGTTAGTGTGGACTGAGCTCTTTTATTTTCACAATCGTTGTAGAGTAAATTTCTTTTCGCTGTCACATTTGTTTGAATACAACACACAATAATGTGCTTCTAGTCCTACTTTGTAAATATGTAGCGTTTATACTTACTTAGGTGTTAAAATGTACCACAGGGTGTACAAAACTTACTGTGTATATGTCCGTTTTTATTTTTTATATTAAATTGAGCTTTTGGAACACCCTGTCTGTTTTGTTTCCGAATGGTACATAGTGCATAGGAGCAGAGGAAATGTGGAAGTCAGGTTCGTTTCCAGAAATGTCACGTTATGTATACGAACGCTTCTGTCGTAAACCTATTAAATTGCAACTGGTTTGTAGGTGTCCTGATTTATACTTTATGCTCAATAACTTTAACGCCAGATTGGATATTTTTAAATTAAATCGAGTATTATTGACGTGCTTCAACCCCCTTTACATACCTCAATACGATGTATATTAGTTTTATTTATGTTGTAGTATATTATTGAAGGGGTTGCAATACTCTTGGCGTTCAAAAGTGCAAACTTGTTTTAAAATTGTTTTGTTTTCGAACACTCTGATAGAAACACACCTATAACTCATTAATTTATTATCGTAGACGTGTATTGTACATTTAGGATATATCTAGTGTCCGGTTTTAATAAATAAATATATATATAAATATATGCAAATTCTATATATATAGCGATGATGCGTGTATGTAAAGAGAGTATGTCCCGATTCGAAAGCCTTGATTGTGTTTGAGATCAAAGTGAAACAATAAAATATGGTTGAATATGAAGGCGCGATTTATCAGTTACAAGCTATTCCTTTTCTGAGTCCTATAGGGTACGCAACGCATAGCATAACCGCACGATGTTAATTGAATTGAACCGCACTTGTGCATGTCACAGTAGTTTCCCCGAAAAGGCTGCAGATTACCTCACGCATAGCGAAATAGAAAGCACGGCCAAGAGAAGGGACGAGCGGGGCTGATAAGATTAATGGCCTTTCAGGGCGAGGAGCTGGGGAGCGGGAGCGTGAGGCAACGTCAAAAGGATCCCGACTGTGCTGCTGGTGGGGTCAGATGCGGCGAGGCCGCGAACTACGACTCGGACGAGGAGAATGGCACGAACCCTGCCGGAGATGCTCTGTGTGTGTGACTTGGATTTGCCCCCCCCCCCCCCCCCCCTTCTGGATGCGCCGCTACCTCGCGCTGGCCGTGGGAAACCGTCGATGATTTAAGATTATGGTCCTGGTTCAGGTGGCACGCGCCCTGTTTATAAAATGTAGCACCATTCAATTATGGGCGTTTTATGAGGTGTTTACGGGCTTTATCGTTCGGCCATAAACAAGAGTTATGGGTGCCGGGGAGCAGACCATTGAGGCGGCGGGCCAGGTGATTTGTCGTTGAGGCGGTAGCGGGTGAGACGTCTCAGTTTCGTGATGATGAGATGGGCAGTGTGCAAATTAGTATTTTGACAAGCATCACGCATGTCGTTTGTGTATTTTCTGCTATGACTAGTTTTTTAATAATATTTTTCTATTTCAGTAGTTGAATTGAAACACATACTAAAAGTAATGTACGCGTAAACTTGTCATTGATAAATCTAGTAATAAACCGGTAGACACTTGGAAGTGTTCAACTGCTTATATGCCCACTTTCTAGTGTTCAACAAGATTGTTGTGATCTTGAAAGAGTTCAGTTAGATGGTTGTGCACTTGAAAGTGTGAATTGGAAAAGAAACTTACCTGTTACACTCTTAGACACGCAAATCATCTGGATTTGCTTGTATTCAATTTGCTTTTCTATCCTAAGAGATGTACTTGTTTTAACACTTTACTGATGTGGTTAGTCTTAAATCTTATTTGTTTCTTTTAATTTTGTTATAATGTTTTTTAAAATTAAACTTCGTCATGCAATTTTTTGGTCAGACGCTCTCTAGATGCACTGCAGTTGGAGTACAATCGTTCCGAACGGCCTCCGCAGGGTGTGAGCCGCGTTAAGCTTTTGGTTACTTCGCCGGCACTTTTGAATTTTGGCGCCCTTTCCGAGTAGCATAGATTGGCTGGAGGGGAAGTGTGTCGGAGTCAAGGTGGGGATGCCGACCCCGGTGGAGGGGGTTCGCCGGGGCAGCGGGGAGGTGGGGGGGCCGGCGGGGGTGTCGCGGCGGGGGGCAGGCTCCTCCCTCCTCAGCTTAGTATCTGTCAGTCTCCGGTCTTTCACATTTGTCGGACTGCTGTCGGCCCGCCCACCGCGCCTAGCCGGCCTGAGACGCGCCACCTGATTGGCTGCCCCCCACCCCTCAGCGGCACTTTATAAATTGGGCTCATTTGTTATTTTGGCAAACAACAACAACATGAACCGGGCGCCATATTAGCTTCCGCGCTATGCGGTGCTGCCCCCTTGGCGGCAAATACGGAAACCATAAGGGAGGACGAAAAAACGAAGTCGGCAGGGAAAATGCGATCGATATAGGAGAGGGAGCCGGTTCCTGCTTAAATAAATATTAACTGCTTCATAATTAAAAAAATTTCTGTACGTCACCTAGCATACTGTTGTCCCCAAAGTCCGCCTCAAAAACATGTAGTTCATGCACGGTCGGTTGATGCCACTCAAATTCTGCACGCTCCAGACACCAATTTTGTAGGCAAGTTCAGGCAAAACTGTTTTGAACTTGAAAACTAATGGTTACCCAGTGAACGACTTGACGTCCGACACAGAGGCCTCCGCGTTCATAACTCAAAAGGGGCGGGCGAGCGTCTTGGATATTATTCAAATGTTTGTGCTCTGAGTCACTGCCGTCTGTTCACCACCAGACTCTTAATAATTAAATGATACAAGTGGAGCATCTCATCGGCGGTCCCCACCCGAATCAATCTTTGTTCGGGTCGTGCTCGCCGAGCCCGGCCTGCCCGACACGAGCCAGGAGGGGCCGACGCGGCCGCTGCCCGCTAGAAACGTCATGTTCGAACAGCCTGCACGCGGTGCGGCTCAAGCCGCCGTGCCATCGGCTGGGGCACGCTCTGGCGCACGTAATTCAACCATCAGGAAAACGAGCAAATGAATGGCGGCTGAGAAAGGTTCGAGCGAGTGGTGAGGAGGGGGTGGGGGGGATCTCTGTAAGCCCGCTCGTTGGCTAGACTTCATCTAATGCTAGGTATTTATGACTTTTTAAATATACATTTACATATGAGTGTGTCGATACGATCTGCGGCCGCGTCTAATGATGATGGCGGCACTCATGAGGGCCGAGGGGGCGTGGGGGGCGTGCCGGTAGGGGTGCCACTCGTTCATTTAGCGACACGTTTCTCCTCCGACTGCAATGCCGTTGTTTCCCACACCGAACGACGCCACGCGGCTGCAGAGGATCAAGAGACTCATCATCCCCGGCCGCTGGGTCGCACTCTTCCGTGAGCGGTAAGAGCAGCGGCCGAAACACTGGGAGAGAAAGGTAAGGCGTTTGCAGAGGTGCAAATGATATGCTCGTGTTGGTTGTTTTTCTTCAGAGCCCACGCGCAAACCTAACAACCCTTGCCCGGTAGCAAGGCACCGTCTTAAAAATACCGAACTACATGAGAACTTGATTTGTAAAATATCCAAAAAGAAATTGAACGAAAAAGTTTTGATGTCTCTTGAGAACCAAGTAAATCATTAGAAGAAATAAATATATATATAAATATATGCAAATTCTATATATATAGCGATGATGCGTGTATGTAAAGAGAGTATGTCCCGATTCGAAAGCCTTGATTGTGTTTGAGATCAAAGTGAAACAATAAAATATGGTTGAATATGAAGGCGCGATTTATCAGTTACAAGCTATTCCTTTTCTGAGTCCTATAGGGTACGCAACGCATAGCATAACCGCACGATGTTAATTGAATTGAACCGCACTTGTGCATGTCACAGTAGTTTCCCCGAAAAGGCTGCAGATTACCTCACGCATAGCGAAATAGAAAGCACGGCCAAGAGAAGGGACGAGCGGGGCTGATAAGATTAATGGCCTTTCAGGGCGAGGAGCTGGGGAGCGGGAGCGTGAGGCAACGTCAAAAGGATCCCGACTGTGCTGCTGGTGGGGTCAGATGCGGCGAGGCCGCGAACTACGACTCGGACGAGGAGAATGGCACGAACCCTGCCGGAGATGCTCTGTGTGTGTGACTTGGATTTGCCCCCCTCCCCCCCCCCCCTTCTGGATGCGCCGCTACCTCGCGCTGGCCGTGGGAAACCGTCGATGATTTAAGATTATGGTCCTGGTTCAGGTGGCACGCGCCCTGTTTATAAAATGTAGCACCATTCAATTATGGGCGTTTTATGAGGTGTTTACGGGCTTTATCGTTCGGCCATAAACAAGAGTTATGGGTGCCGGGGAGCAGACCATTGAGGCGGCGGGCCAGGTGATTTGTCGTTGAGGCGGTAGCGGGTGAGACGTCTCAGTTTCGTGATGATGAGATGGGCAGTGTGCAAATTAGTATTTTGACAAGCATCACGCATGTCGTTTGTGTATTTTCTGCTATGACTAGTTTTTTAATAATATTTTTCTATTTCAGTAGTTGAATTGAAACACATACTAAAAGTAATGTACGCGTAAACTTGTCATTGATAAATCTAGTAATAAACCGGTAGACACTTGGAAGTGTTCAACTGCTTATATGCCCACTTTCTAGTGTTCAACAAGATTGTTGTGATCTTGAAAGAGTTCAGTTAGATGGTTGTGCACTTGAAAGTGTGAATTGGAAAAGAAACTTACCTGTTACACTCTTAGACACGCAAATCATCTGGATTTGCTTGTATTCAATTTGCTTTTCTATCCTAAGAGATGTACTTGTTTTAACACTTTACTGATGTGGTTAGTCTTAAATCTTATTTGTTTCTTTTAATTTTGTTATAATGTTTTTTAAAATTAAACTTCGTCATGCAATTTTTTGGTCAGACGCTCTCTAGATGCACTGCAGTTGGAGTACAATCGTTCCGAACGGCCTCCGCAGGGTGTGAGCCGCGTTAAGCTTTTGGTTACTTCGCCGGCACTTTTGAATTTTGGCGCCCTTTCCGAGTAGCATAGATTGGCTGGAGGGGAAGTGTGTCGGAGTCAAGGTGGGGATGCCGACCCCGGTGGAGGGGGTTCGCCGGGGCAGCGGGGAGGTGGGGGGGCCGGCGGGGGTGTCGCGGCGGGGGGCAGGCTCCTCCCTCCTCAGCTTAGTATCTGTCAGTCTCCGGTCCGGACTGCTGTCGGCCCGCCCACCGCGCCTAGCCGGCCTGAGACGCGCCACCTGATTGGCTGCCCCCCACCCCTCAGCGGCACTTTATAAATTGGGCTCATTTGTTATTTTGGCAAACAACAACAACATGAACCGGGCGCCATATTAGCTTCCGCGCTATGCGGTGCTGCCCCCTTGGCGGCAAATACGGAAACCATAAGGGAGGACGAAAAAACGAAGTCGGCAGGGAAAATGCGATCGATATAGGAGAGGGAGCCGGTTCCTGCTTAAATAAATATTAACTGCTTCATAATTAAAAAAATTTCTGTACGTCACCTAGCATACTGTTGTCCCCAAAGTCCGCCTCAAAAACATGTAGTTCATGCACGGTCGGTTGATGCCACTCAAATTCTGCACGCTCCAGACACCAATTTTGTAGGCAAGTTCAGGCAAAACTGTTTTGAACTTGAAAACTAATGGTTACCCAGTGAACGACTTGACGTCCGACACAGAGGCCTCCGCGTTCATAACTCAAAAGGGGCGGGCGAGCGTCTTGGATATTATTCAAATGTTTGTGCTCTGAGTCACTGCCGTCTGTTCACC